CCACCTGACGGGTGGTGGTTTTCAGAGGGTTTTGTTTAAACGGTCTAGTGAAGCTGCCTTTAATTTCTTTCCCCAAGGAGAGAGGCTAGCCTCATGCTCACCTCACTTCCTGGGCTGAAGGAATGTTGCTCCGGGTTGGGCTCTGTAGGTGGGGTTTTTTGACAGAAATTGATAAAAGTGGTCTTAGACCAGTAACTTAGCTGTTCGAAAGCACAGGTTGAAAATGTCCTTGAAGTGTTGATTGCAAGAAATTTTTGTGTTAAAAACAGGTGATTAGATGAAAAATGTGCCTTACAGTGGTTTGGTCAGTTAAAGGGCCCTCGTTACTGGATCATCAGTAGTTAAGTGGCTTTGCTTGATGCACTAATCCCTTTTAGCATTATAATACTTTTCCTGTAGTTGTTGTGAAAAGCATTCTCGTATCAGTGTTTTTTCCTAACTCTTATCATCTGGAATTATCAGTGGTGGGATTCTGGGCTTGGAAATGTAAGATGACTGAGATGGAAGGACTTTAGGCCAGCCCAACTTTACAGAGTCTGCTAAGTTTACCAAAATCTTTCTGTTACTTTGCCCTCATTTCTCCCTAGGGAGAAGCTTGGTAACGGTATCATAAAACTTTGTGGCTACAAAGCATTTTACGGTGCCAGATTGCATTATGTCTGGGTTTGGTGCCACCATGGCTATTTTTAAGCTTCTATAAAAGCTAATGCTTGAGAAACAGCTATGTTTTTAAGAGTCAAAAAAAACCCAAAACCCAAAGCAACCCTGACACCAGCTGGTAAAGTGCTTTGTGAACCAAAACTCATTCTGTTTTAGCAGAGTAATACTGAAGAATTGTATCCCCTGCTGTTGCTGCAGATGGCTTAACCTTATCTAATGTGAAACATTTCTTTTCAGATTAAACTGGGTCATAGATCAGAAGCTAAAGATGGTGAGTTTTAAAACAAATTCATGCTGCAAAAGCTGTGCTTTGCTTCATTTTTCTAAGTTGGTACATTAATTTCCCCCACCATAAATTGGCTGAGAAAAATGAGCTCAACTCTTCTAGTGTAAGGCTTGATAGAGGATTGTTTCCCCAGCTGCAGGGAAAATAAAAAACAGTAGAGATAACTGCAGGCATATGTTTGTCTAAATATGAGCATGTGAGCAGCTAGCTTCTCAATTTAAGTGGAAAACAAAGGTGATTGTAGCATACCATTGTAATCTTTACAGCACTGAGTTTGGAATACTTTTTTTATGATGCGCCTCTGTGCTTTCAATGTGTAGGACAGGTGAGCGTGCTTTCCTCTCTTTTCAGATATCTTCTTTGCTGTATTTTTGTGATTTATGCTGAGGTAAAAGCTAATAAAACCAAGATCTGGGCTGACCAGCCACGTGCCTTTAGGCATGGGTTATTGCAAGTGGCAGCCCAGTAATCCTGGTCTTCCCTTACAACCTGGGTGTCTCAGTAGTGTTTTGTAGGTGTGTAGGCTGCCATCTTTCAGGGGTCCTACATCAGGTTACCAACTTTCCAGTGAAGAAGCTTTGCTCTCAACTCTCCAATTCAGTTTTAAGGGAGGAATCTTTAAAGAGAAACTGAGCTCTCATCTCAGAGTCTCACAGTGGAGCCAACTGCCAGTGAGTCGTGATCCACCTGGCCTTCCATGGACTGATGTCCTTGAAGGACTGATATTACTTCTGGCCTATCCAATGCCTAGCTATAGTGTAAAGATGTTATTAAAAATGATGATCATGTCTGGGTTCCCTGTGCTAGCTGATAACTTGGTGTGCTTGGAATCTAAGGCTTTGCCCACCTGAAATCAGCTGTTGCCGACAGAGTTCTAAAATAGCCAATTAAAATAGGCAGAGCAGGAGTGTTGAGGTGATCCGTGTAACTTTGCCTAAACCTTTGCTAGAGTCCTGCGTGTTGAATCGTGTCCCACGTTTTGAGGGAATGCTGTCTTTCATCTCAGCAGCTGAAACTTTCTGTGCAACATACCACAAGAGCATTTTGCTTGCCAGTCAGTTTTCGTACAAACCATGAATACCAGGAGGGGAGGGATTGTTGCCCTGCAGGAATCCTGGTTTGATGTGGTGCAGACAGTGTGACTGCCCAAGTGCAGCGTCCCCTCTGTTTTTTCCTCTGTGAAATGTCGCTATTCAAGCAAGGCTGAGCAGGTTCTGGCCGCTGTATCTTTTATGCCACAGCATGAATGTAGAGACACGTCTATGTGCCTTGCCTTGTTAAACAATGCTGTGTCAGAAAGTGGAGAGGTACAGTCGTCAGGTTTGTCAGTGTGCCTCCCTCTGGAAGTGAGACACACTGAAGAACTAATATTTGCAAGATGTAACTTTTAAAAAATAAACCCAAAACTTAAAATACCCTGGAAAAGGTGATTTTTTTTTTCCTTCTTCTTATAGGCTTCTGCTAGAACTTTCCCTTTTTGCCAAAAGGGGCACATGTTGTTTCCTAATATAAACTTGATTACTGCGGTGTAGGATTTATTTGCACTGAAAGAAAAGTGTATGTCCACTTTTATTTTGCAGCAATCTACATATCTGTGGTGACGTACTTGTTATTTAGCAAATTGTTGAGTGGGGAGAAAGTAGTTTGTAGGAGCAAATCATCAGTGGGTAACAGGATGAGAGATTTCTTTGGATCTTAAGCCAAAGTTTTTAATTTTGCTCTGTCTCATCACTCTTCCTCTGTTTTTAATGTAGGAATCAACAGAACAGCCCTCAGGGAGATCAAATTGTTGCAGGAGTTAAGCCATCAGAATATTATTGGTGTAAGTAAAACGAATGCTGTTTGTAGAATCAGTCTTCAAATACTTTTGGTACAGGTTCAGACTGAAATTTGGAATTAGTTGGAGATGCTACTTAAGTTTACTACAGCTACTTTTTTCCAGCTCCAAATGGGCAGTAAAGCAATTTTTCCAGCAAAACACGTGTTTCGGTAACAAAGACAAAGTTGTAAGCCTCTTATTCTTTAGCCTGGGACTATGTGGATCTTAACGATGGAAAGAATTGTGGAAGTTTAGATTCTGCATCTCTGATAGACTTGCAAATGAGTGCAGTGCTGAATTTACCTGATTGTTTGCTTCGCAAGGAACTGGTGACAGCCAAAAGCAGGCTTTTGTAAGCAATGGTAATTTTTAGGTATCTTTTCAGTTGCATTTGGATTGACTTCAGCTACAGATAGCCAGCTGGAGCTAAAGATATTTTTTAATTAACTAATAGGGGTACTTTGAAAGTCTGCCATAAATATTAGGCCAAATATGAATTTTCCAGATAATTTATTTAACTTTTCCAGAGCTGAAATACGGTTCTTTTCTGCATTGTGAAGTTGGGTTCAAAGTGGTTGCTTTAGTGATCAGAGTTAGAGAACATGCAGAGAAAGACAACTAAAATGGCAAAGGGATGGAGCATCTTTATGAAAAAGATTGATTCCTCACTCCAGAGAGGAAAAAGCTGGGAATAGGGAGGCGTACAAAACTGAGGTGGTAGGTAAAGTGCTTGTCGGACTAATTGTTGCGAAGTCCCACAGTAACAGAAATGAGATGTTTGTAAGCCGTTCACATCAGGAGAAGGGAGTGTGTGGAAATTGTACCGCTTTACATGGCGTGTAGCGTCTCTCAAATGTGTTGCCACAGGAACTGTGGAAGCAGATAATGTCAGCAGTTCAAAAGGAATCCGGCAAATTCACAATCAGCAGGTCCATAAACAGGTTGTACCCTCTTATCAGCAATGATAAAGCTGCTGTGGCTGTTGGAAGTGTAAGGGGCATAAATTCCAAGATGTGGCCAAGCTTGTAGGCTCATCTGCGTGGTACCTCCTGTTACCGTGGTTTCTGTAGAGGAAGAGCAAACGACTCCTTTGCAGTTGGGCTATTCCCATGGTCATCATGCTGAGACACTAAGGAATGAGCCACACCAAAGAGTGCGCAGCTTCCTGATCACAAGGGTAGAATACCATGCTGGATGATCTGTTACTGTTACTCAGTGTCACACCTGCGTTATCTCAAATTAAAAATTGATTGTCGTACACAGCTTCATCCTGAGAAGGGGCCGTTTGGATATTCTCTCTCCAAAGTGTTTAATTTGTCCTAGAAAGCACGCTACAAAGATGAAGATATGCCTAAGAATAATTTTTAAAGGAGGTTAATAAGCCTAACCCTTAGAGTTTCTAAATACTGTGTGCTTAGAGGAAGCAGGTACACAGAGCTGTATACATGAGAAAATTTAGCCTGGTCTCCAGAAAGGGTAGGAGTTTTGTAGAACAGCAGAGTTTGGGGGAGGAGGAGAAGGTGTGCATTGGATTATCTGTTGTAGCTAACATGGTAAAGGTAATTCTTTCTCTTTTCTTTTTTACCCATAAGTCTAGGAGGGAGGAGAACTTGTGTAAAATAAAATTACCATGATTAATGGGCATGTGGTGGTGTTTTTTTTTTTTGAGACTGAGTTAAGAAGCTAAACTGAGTAAGAATTTTTGTATTTCAAGTCAAAATGCCTAGAAGTGTGTTCAGCAAGCGGAAAATCCACATGCACACTACAGTGATGCAGAACCTTAGAAAACTGGAAGTATGAGGGTATGCTTCATCATAACGTATTTTGTTTTACAGCTTCTAGATGCATTTGGGCACAAGTCCAATATTAGTTTGGTGTTTGACTTCATGGAAACGGATCTCGAGGTAAGATTTAAGACTTCTATTTCACTATCCTCAAATGATTTTTGAAAATCATACTTTCACAGGCTTACATTGGCCCCTATTAGAAAGGTAACTTTCATTATGTCAGTTGATTTAGATCATGTATCAAAAGTAGTTTGAGTAATTGGACAAATTTTGTGAGTTCTCAACTGATAATGCTTTTATTTTTAAATAATTGTCAGCATGATCTTCAAGAAACAGGCTGTGTTCACCATGTCAGTTTTCTAGGACTCCACTCAGACCATAGAACCTCAGCCATAGCTCAGCGTCTCGGGGTGCTCTTGCTAAGCAGGGTATCATTGAACGTGCTCCAGTAAGTGTGAAATACAGTGCAGAGTATACCAAGTGATGAGCTGGGACTACAGTCATGCACTTGAACCGTTCTTTTAACCGTTCTTTCTTGCAAATCAGCATCTCACAAGATGTTTTATTCTCCAAGATATTAAGTTAGTTTGTCATTGCAGCAGTCTGTGTGAGAGATTTTGATGCAAGATTCTTTATTTTGGTAGACTGTCCTATTACTTGGTAACAAGCAACGTTTAGAGCTGAAGAAGGTGCAGCATGCAAAGAGGAGTGAAATACTCTTGTACCACAGGATGATGTGGTATGCAGAGCCTTTAGCCATATTGTGGTGTCACTTGGGCCACCGTTTGAGACTGCAGCCTGTTGTGATTGGCCGCATGCGGCGTACACAAAATTTTGCATAGTCTCAGACAGCTATTTTGTAAATCTCAAACAACTTAAAGCTTAGGAAAGGCTATTGCTGAACTGAGCAGCAGTATTAACAAGCAGGTTTTGAGGAGTAGTGTAGAAAATACTTTAAACAGAGACGTTTACATGGAATTTTAATGATAAAAATCAAAGAAGATAGGAAACAAGTAGATTGGTTAAAGTACAGTAAAGTGGCCATACCTCTTGGTCTTTCCAGAAAGCGAAGAGGAAACCATTGAATTTCAAAGATTAGATGCATAGAGAGCATGGAGAAAGAAGGAATAAGTGGGAATGTGACTTCAAGTTTAGTGACACATTTATCATTTTTATGTATATGTCTTTGTCTTGCAAGTTTGGGTATCAGCCTGGAACTGAGATAGAATAATAATCTCATGTTTCCAACCCTTTTTCTCATTTTGTTAGTTAAATAAATTTCACGGGGGCTATCTGGACTTCCCATTTCAATTTCTGATCTCCAGAATAGACCCTATTTTTTTTTTTCTTGTAAAAGGGGTGAGAATGCTAGAGAACATGTGACTGCCATTCGAACTTTGTCTTAACAGAGGAAATAACTTTTGAGCTGAAAGAATGAAAGTAAGTCCATCTTGCACGGTAAGCTTTGCTATCAATCTTATGTTTTACAGGTTATTATAAAGGATACCAGTATTGTATTGACACAGTCTCACATCAAGGCATATATGTTGATGACGCTTCAAGGATTAGAATATTTGCATCAGCACTGGATTCTGCACAGGGTAAGCACGTACTAGGTTGACAGCCTTTATGCTCTAACAAAGTCACGTTTGACAGAATTTGAGTCTCGAGTCCAGTGAAGGTGGTTTTGCAGTTCAGCTGTTCTCAGTCCTTAAGCATTCATGCTGGGTGTTTTGGTGACGCTGTAGCAATACCAGAAATGTGGAGTTAGTGATGCAGTCATCGTTTAGACTTTTATATGCAAGTGTCTCAAGTGACTTTGGTTAGCACTGTGAACTGGGTCTGTCTGGGACAGACTGAACTTCGCTCACCGCAGGCGGTAAGGTGCCGTGTTTTGGATTTGTGCCTAAAACCGTGCTGACAACCTGCTGATGGTTGTGGCTGTTGCCAAGCAGAGCTCAGGCACTGTCAAGGCTTTCTCTTCCTCCCACTCTGCCCTCACCCCACCGAGGAGGCTGGGAGTGGGCAAGAAGTTGGAGGGGACGCAGCTGGGAGAGGTGACCCAAGCTGGGCAGGGCGATCTGGCGTGCCATGTGACATCATGCTTGGCAGTAAAAACTGGGGTAGAGGAGGAAGGAGAGATTTTGGGTGTCGAGGTGGCTGCTGCTCAGAGACTGGCTGAGCAGCACTCTGCTTGTGGAAGGTGGTGAATTATTTCCTTTGCATTACTTGCATGTTTGGGTTTTTTCCTCTTGCCTTCACCTGTTAAACTCAGGGAGCAATATAGACGCAGTTTTCTTCCTTTTACTCGTGTTCTCTCCCCTGTCCCAGGCTGGGAATGATAACAGGGTGAGCAAATGACTGTGTGTGTGCTCTGCTGCTGGCCAGAGGTCAACCCACACATTGTCACTCTGTTCAACTGTACCGTTTCCATGAGTTCTGCAGTTATTTGGAACATTTGCAAGATCTTTGTGCTGTTCATTTGGAGACAGTGCAATTAACTCTGCTGCAGGAACAGCAGTTCTAAAACCTACCAAGAGGCAGTTTGGGTGTTGGTTTTTTTTTTTAAACTCTGCAGCTCACATATGATAATACTCAAATGGGTGTTTCACTGATTTTCATGTATGATGAAATACTTAATTTCCTGAGATTGTGGGCTTTTTTTCTCACAACGTAGATGTAGAATGAAAAGCCTGCATTTTAGAATACTGTTATGGGACACCTGCCAGGAGGTTCATTGTATGTCTGTTTTTATCAACACTGACACAATTCATCCTTTGCTTTCTGTACTGACAGGATCTGAAGCCAAATAATTTGTTGTTAGATGAAAATGGGGTTTTAAAATTGGCTGATTTTGGCTTGGCAAAATCTTTTGGAAGCCCAAACAGAGTTTATACCCACCAGGTGGTAACAAGGTAAGACATTCTGTTTTGCTTCTTACATAGTGGTTGTGTAGCTGTTTTGCAGTGTCTCTTGAAACGTTATGTCAAATCAACGTGTTCAGTGTTCGGCATCTAGCTCGTGATACAGCTGTAGTGGCGAGAGCCTCAAAGAAAACACGAGGCATTGTTTAGCAAAGTTTCTGTACGAACGGATAGAATATGCATCTGTGGGGTGTTTCTGGGGTATGATACTTTCGAAATGCATGGAAGTAATATGTATCTGCCTATAAGCCTTGTTTTCAGAGCAAAACAGCTGTTGCTTTCTGTTAATCATGAGATCTAGGATCTTTTTTTACAAGCTAGTCACATTATTATGAGAGTAAAGCTTGAGCCAATTAAAAAATTCTGCAAATAGAGTACACCTCTTTGGTGTCTGAAAAATATATAAGCAGGAACAGTGTTCCCTTTGTAGTTCTTGCATTGCTACAATATACAGCGCTTGACATGAGCAAAGCCGGGCGCCTTTCACAAAATGTGGTTTCCTTTCAGGTGGTACCGTGCCCCTGAACTACTGTTTGGTGCTAGAATGTACGGTGTGGGTGTCGACATGTGGGCTGTTGGTTGTATTTTAGCTGAATTGCTTCTCAGGGTAAGTCTTCAAATGTAATTCAGTGCATGACTACTCCAACAGCTTGCTGCCTGTGAGGGAAGTGCAATTCTGGACTAGACTGAGGTTCCATAAGCATCATAATCATTGGACCTCTTTAAGTACAGCTGGGTAAAAAAAAAAATTGCAACAAACAGTCACAGTCTTGCCCTGGGGAAGGTCGATAACTTCTACAGTCCTCTGAGTGTTCTTTGGCACACCCTTCCATCAGTTTTCATTTGCTATCCTCAGAAAAGTTACATCACAGACACATGCATCCTCTATCCCTTATACGTTGTTCCCTAATAACTGCAAATAATTATCAGCAGTATCTTAATTTTGAGTTTACTTGCAATGGCCAGAAGACTGATGTTCTCAGCTGTGGTTAGCTGTCAGTACTGGAATGAGGCTAACCTCAGGCTAATCCTATGCCCCCTCCTGAGTACTAGGCACAGATGTAGTGGTCCTTAAATATGTTTTACTGAAGCAGACCATTTATTATGCAGCTCTTCAGAGAGGACATGGTGTGAGGCAGGGAGTGGGGGGTGGGAACACAGACAGCTGGCAGCATGAAGTAGCCTGCAGTATAATTTATTTTCCATTAGTAAGTGGCTTCGCATCAGTTTTTGCACTGTACTTTAAATGTCGGTGTGACCATGGGGTGAACCAGACTGGTGAACTGGTTTGTCTGAAAGCACTTTGAACAAAATCTTTTTGCCTTGGTTTATCACAGAAACAGTGTACTTGTAGAATTTGGTTGGCAGTTCAGGAATGGAAATCTTAGAATCTTAGAATGGTTTGGGTTGGAAGGGACCTTAAAGACCCTCTAGTTCCAACCCCCCTGCCATGGGCAGGGACACCTTCCACTAGACCAGGTTGCTCAAAGCCTCGTCCAGCCTGGCCTTGAACACTTCCAGGGATGGGGCATGGAAATGGAGAGGGGCTGTTTAAGCAGCACTAATGATGCGTCCGTAAATATGTATTAGACCTGCTGAAGTTTGATAAACTCAGGGGAAGTCAGAAAGCAAATGAGGTGAATTCTCCTGATGCTTTGGTTTTTATGCTTTGTAAGAATCTTATGGTTCAGTTTTTTAACTCTTATATGCTTAATAAGCTTAATATGCTGGTTTAATCTTCTGTTTAGCTCTCTGCTGCCAGGTAAGTGCTAACAAGCGTGAGCTGTGAGAAAGCTTCAGAATCTATTTGGATGGCACTAGAAAGCCTTAAATATTCAGTTTACCTCTTTGTGGGCAGCTGGTACTCAGAGGTGTTTTGCCCTGCAGTGATGGGGGGTGGCTCAGAGCTCCTCCCCAGAACTCAAGTTTGGAAGTTAATCCAATCAAATGCTGTTGCCCTCTTCCAGGTTCCTTTTTTGCCTGGAGACTCTGATCTTGACCAGCTGACACGGATATTTGAAACTCTGGGCACTCCAACGGAAGAACAATGGCCTGTGAGTCTTGTTGATGAACAGCCTGACATTAGTTGTACTTGACACTATTTTAGTTTATGAAATTAAATGGTATACCAGGATACTTGAGTAAATTTTTCAGAAGGCAGCTGCCTCATCTCAAAGTGGAGGATAAGCAGCGGAGATCTACTGTTTCTCTTGTCAGATCTCTGATCGATATAGCAGTGTTGTTTAGCCTTAAGTAACAGTAATGAAACTACTTGGTGCCATCTCTATGTGTATCCCATTTCCTATTACTATTGGTGTAAAGTTATGGCTGTTGCTTAATGTTCTTCAGATGGTTGATTAATCTGCTTTAACCTGACAAGCTTTAATCACTTTCAGAAGTAGGAAAAATTTGTAGGGACTTAAGTCAGCCTGGATAAGTTACAGTTTTGGGGTACAGTAAGAAACACCAGACAAACAGCTTTAGGGATAAACAGTTTATCTGAGAATAATGGTGCAGTAACAAATACAAGTCAGTAGTATCTGGGTCGAGATGACTGTAAATCCAATAATTCACTAACGCTGGGCTAAACCTGTCGGAACGCAGAGTGACCTACATAACCATGGTTATCAGACAGGCTGGCAGGAAGCAGGGCATGGTTTCCTCTGAGCCATTCCCCGATGGGCGTGGGGGTCCCGAATTTCCTGATCAGACCATTCTCTTGTGGTTGATTTGTGGAAGCACCCTCTGGGCTTGTTACCAGTTACCCCATCCCACCTCTGCTCCCCCTCTGTGCACGCATTTCCTTTGTGTGAGTGGTGCTCAGATGCTGCCTTATGTAGCGGTGATCACCGACTGGAGCTGTAGCCATACGGAGAAATGTCGTGTAAGGCAGTGCGGGACCTGCATAATTCTGTCGCTGTCTGGAGTTCTGAATGAAATGCGTGGAGGTTTTTGCAATGACACTTCTGCTTTCTTTGGAGAGGAAGAGTTCAGGTATAGGTGGGGAAAGGAGAGAATAGGAGATTTGGTGGCATGGCAGAGGTGATGCATTTCAAAATCACTTGGCAAGCCCATACATTTCAAGAACTGATACCTTTACTATCAAGGTTATAACTGATTAACAAAAATGTATATTTTGTCACTTCAGTGTTTTATTTTGCTTGGATAAACCTACTGAAGTGGGATGACTAGAGGTTTAAAATACTTAAAACACTATTAACATACTATGTTTGGATAATCATCTGTAAAAAGATTGATGTTACGATATAATTTGAATGAGATTGATTTCATACCTGCAGGAGGAAAGGAATACAAAAGTCATCTGCTGTTTGACTGCTTGGTGTATTTTTCTTCCTTCTTCCCACTTTCCAAATGAAAAGTTTCAGTTGTGCCTTTCATAAGTAGCTCAGAATGCCTGTGATGATCAGGTAACTTTGAGGAGGACAGCATATTACTAACTTGGAGAAAATGCAGACTGGCTATTTTGTTAATCTTGTGTCTTCCACCATGTCAGTTTGTATTTGGCTGCCCCCACTTTAAAGTTCTTTCATAATTCCTGTCTTTGTTAGCAGCCTTTGATTTTGTACCGGTCACCATTAAAGGGAAAGTGTGAAATGAATGTAGCAATTTAAAAAAAAAAAAAAGTCTCTATGACCTACTACTCCTACAGTTATTTTGTTTCAGTGACCAAGTACTGGCAGGGTCTTATAAAAGATAATTTCATTCTGCTGAAAGACAGCCATAACTTCCCTTTCTGTGAAAAGCTGAACTCCTCCTGACTTGAAAAGCATACAGGCTGTTTTTGTCTTTGCAGGGGATGACTAGTCTTCCAGATTATGTCACATTCAAGTCTTTCCCTGGAATGCCATTTCAACTTATCTTCAGTGCAGCTGGTGATGACTTGCTCAGTCTTCTGCAAGGCTTATTTACATTTAATCCTTGCACTAGGCTTACGGCTACTCAGGTATAGTATACTTACATGGTGTCTCAATGTTCTTTAGCCTCCTGTTAATACCAGATAAGTGTGCTTTGAAGCCAGTAAGCCACATCTGAATTGAAATGTCATACAGATCCATCTGTGAAATACTAGGAACATATTTGTGATGTTTTATGGAGAGAATTCTGAAAGGCATGAATAATGCGAACTGATCATCTCCATTCCCAATGCAAAGCAAAGGTAGAAAGCTAAAAGGCATGAAAATCGTGGCCTTCAGAGAGCCATTATACTTGATCCTCAAAATTCAGTGACCTACAGCTTGAAACTTAAGTTTTAACATAGCGTATCTCATTCCTTGGTTTTGAAAGGTTTTCTTCCATAATTCATCCATGCTCTTTTTCAATTTCATTTAAACCTTTCTGATTCTTTTTTTAACATGAGATTCTGTGGTGACTTAAACCAGCATTCTGATCCAAATATCCTTTTCCATTGTACTTGGGTAAAACTCGATTTCACTGCTCCTTGAGATGGAGGGAAATGAAGGACTTTAAATGAAAATTTGTGCAGCATGTTCTAGTTGAGAATATTGACTTGTGCTGTGAAGAAGATACAGCAGTTGGCAGTTTCAAAGCTATTTCTGTCACCTCACGCTGTTAAAGAGACATGGAAAAACCAGAGATCCCTTAGGCCAAAACCCCCTCGTTGCCTATTAGACAAGTATTGTGGTTCAACCCCATTCACAACTAAACACCACACTGCTGCTCACTCACTGCCCTCTCCCAGTGGGATGGGGAAGGGCATTGGAGAAAAAGGTAAGAAAACTCGTGGGTTAACAGTTTAATTGAAAACAGCATTATTAGTATCACTTTTAAATTTAATAATATGTAATGAAAATACTACTAGTAGTAGTATTAGCAATATGTATTGAAAAAGAAAACAATAGTAGAAAAAGAAGAAATTATACAACTGCTCACCACATGCTCAACTCATGCACAGCCAGTCCCTGAGGAGTGCCAGAGCCCTGGTCAACTCCTGCCAACGTATATACTGTCTGTGATGTCTTGTGGCATGAAATACCCCTTTGCTCAGTTTGGGTCAGCTGGCCTGGCTGTGTCCCCTTCTGGCCTCTTGCAGAGAAGAAGCTGGGAACACGCATGTAGGGTGAGAAACTGAAAAAGTCATAGGATCTTATATGTTGGAAAAGAGCTTTAAGATCATCAAGTCCAACCATTAACCCAACACTGCTAATACCATCCCAGCTTCATTTCCCCTCTCTGGACACACTCCAGCACCTCAGTGGCGTTTTGTAGTGAGGGACCCAGAACTGAACGCAGCATTTGAGGTACAGCCTCACCAGCACCAAGTACAGGGGAGAAATCACTTCCCTAGTCCCAGTTCTAAGTGCTTTATTTCATGATAACCTCTTTATAGCTAGTGCTCTGACACTTTATACTAATTACCTTAGTTATTTTCTTCCATTATCATTAAGGCATTGAAACAGAAGTATTTCAGTAACCGGCCAGGACCCACTCCAGGAAATCAGCTCCCAAGACCCAGCTGTCCAGCAGAAGCTGTAAAGGAGCAACAGACTGCACTTTTAAATTTAAAAAGGAAAAGAATAGAAGGAATAGACCAAGGTAACCTCTTTAATGTTTCATCTGTTTTAAAGCAGGAGCTACATGCTCAGAGAGAAAGTGATACTTCCAGTGTTTCAGAACAAAAACTGTCTGAATGGGCTATATCCCTGGGCACCAGCTGAAGCCCTTTAATGACTTCCTACATTTTAGGATAAATGCTTTAGGGTGAGAATGACTTAGTTCGGTGTTCTAACAGAACTGTTACAAAAGGCTCTGTTATGACAATTACAAATCTATTTGTTAAAAGAAATACCTAAATCCATTAAATTCTGTAATGGATTGTGGTACTACCCAGTATATTATAGGATATTATGAGGCCTTTTAATTTTTTTTTTTTCCTGAGACATCTTACTGAAGTGGTAGTAACTTAAGTTATATCTCTTCAAAAAAGTGGGGTGAAGACAGAAAGAGAAACGTAGCATGCCATCTTCCAAAAGACAGATTGGAGAAGGTAAACTGGGTTTCGAAGAGAGACTTCTCTCTCTCTCTTAAAATAAGCAAGTTAACAGTTAAGACTGCTCTGGGTAAGGAATGTTAAGCACATTTCTGTGACAGGCTTATTCCCTAACACTTCTATGTGGAGCCTCCAGCCCTCCCCAGACAGTAGCACGTACTTCGTAGCTTGATGGCAAGAACAACTCCAAGGACTCAAGATCTGACACTAAATTACTCAGACCTTTGAGTAGGTGGCTCTCTGAGGTTTCTTCTACCCACTTTATTTATAAGTAGCATATGGAGAAATGAGAGGATGAGATCTGGAGAGTACTGCTGCCCTCATCTGTAGACCTGATACTCGGAGAGACATCGTTGAAGAATGAGGTAGAGCCTAAAAGGTCTATTACTTCCTGCAGACAGCTTGTTACTGGGTAGTGACAGCATGTAAGAAAAATCACAAGGAGCGTATGGGTGGAGGGGCAGGGTTAAGCCTTAGAATAGTTTGCCTTTCTTAGGTTTAAACGCAGAATTGACTGGCTAGCTTTTTATACTAACAGAGGTAAATACTTACAGGTGTCCCAAATGCAGTTAACAGTTCCAGAATTTGTGACTCCATTTGGAATACGTGTATGTATTCAAGTGGGCTTTTATTCCAGCACTGTCTCATAGATTCATTGGAAAAAGGCATAATGCTTGCTGATGTAGCAAGCAGCATTAGCCAGCTCAGAGTAGAGATATCTCAAGAATAGCATCATACAAATACTTAAAATCTTGAGGAGGGGGCTGAACCCCTTTACTTTGGTAACAATGTGATTTACACTTTTCAGGATTACCAAAAAAATTGATTTTTTGATTGCTGTGGATGAACATGAGTGAAAAAAGCCCGAGTCTCAACCATTGAAAGTAATGCTGCAGTAGTCTCTGGGTGGTTATTCTGCAACCCTTTCCTATGTAAAATGTGAATCTAGTATTTCCGCACTGAAACTGAGGTTTTATTAATCCTACTTTTTTTTTTCCCCGAATAAAAGTGTTCCTAAACAAAACAAGAAGATTCCTTTCTTGGTTTGCTGTCTCATTACTTTGACTCATGCTTTGAGGTAGTAACTGTCAAAACTGTGTGCTGGCAACAGATTTACACAGACCAATTTTGCAGAACCTTCATGCGGAATCGTGCTCTCCTGCACAGATGCACACCATTAGGAGGAAAACGGCAAATACAGCCTTCTGGCCTGGAGGTTAGCTGTATATAGGGTTGTCTGCCAGCCCTGTAATAATGTTGGGGAGAACTGAATCATCATAAGGGAAGGGCAGGAGCCTTTTTTGTTGTAGTTGATATGCTGACGTAATAATAGATGAGTACGTATGCGCTCTCTCAGTGATCACACATTCAGCGTTTCCTAGGACGCATCTACTGTCTTAAATTATATGATGCACAGATTGAATGTGGCTTGTTGGTGTGGTTTTGCAGACCAGTTTTACAGGAGAAATTATCTGAGAAGCATATAAATACTGTTTCCTTCACAGCTTCAAGATTGCAGTAGGAGAGGGAGGGAGATGCAGCTGGCAAAACTCTACCATCCCTCCTGTCAACCTGTGGCTGTTGAACGATTCATAGTGCAGAGATGTTGGCCTCAGCTGAAAGCAGGGAGATTTAGATTGGATATCAGGAAGAAGTTCTTCATGGAGAGGGAGGTGAGGCACTGGAACAGGTTGCCCAGAGAAGCTGTGGATGCCCCATCCCTGGAAGTGTTCAAGGCCAGGCTGGATGAGGCTGTGAGCAACCTGGTCTAGTGGAAGGTGTCCCTGCCCATGGCAGGGGGGTTGGAAGTGGATGGTCTTTAAGGTCCATTCCAACCCAAACCCTTCTGTGATTCTGTAAGTCATGGTGTACCACAGCAGGTGCTCAAAATTAGCAGTACTTCTATATAAGTTCAGGAGCTGATCCCTTCCAGCTCCCACACTGCAACTCATTTGGCATGCTGTGCACTGCACAGTGTGGAACAGGCGCAGGCCTATTCTACACTGTGAGGTATTGTCATGGTTAAACTCTGGCTAGCA